TGTGGTTCGTGTTGGGGGGGGGGGGGGGAAGGAAAGGGTGAAGTCGGATATAGGGATGAGGCATTGATGTATTTTCTTTTTTGGAAGTTGATAGCGTGTACAACCTTGACATGATACCCAGGTGGATGGAGGGTGGGAGGGGGGAACTGGCACTTGATAAAAGCAATAGACGGCGTGTAACACGTGGGATATAGCTTTATATAAAACGATACGGCCATGTGCCTACATCTACAAACTACCAAAACACCACCCGCCGCACCCATCCATCCGGCAGCTGCCGTGGCTCATAAACCCGTTCAACACCAAAAGCTTCTCTTGGCTCTTTTCTTTTTTTTAAAAAAAAAAAAAAATTAAAGGCACAGGACCACGGCCCCTTTGCCCTCCCAGTACAAAACGCCTAAGCTACCCTTCGCCTCTTGATTCCGTCCTCTTTCGTGATATCAAAATCGTCTCTCTGAATCTCCTCGGTGTCAGTGGGACTGGGTTCCCCGTTCTTAACATCATCCGCTGCCCCGTCAAGGTTGAAGTTGAAATCGTTGCCGTCGCCGAAACTAGCATCGTTCAAAAACGCGTTGCTGTCAAAGAATTGATCCAGGTCGACATTCGGCTGATCAAAGTACCCCTCGGTGCCGTCTTCTAAGCCCGGTATACGGCCCGACGGACTTAGCGGACCGAGCAATTCACTGAGTTCGTGGATTTTAACGTCCTGGTCGGATTGCAGGCGTTGGAGCTGGTCGAGGTCGATTTGATTGGTGCTGATTTGATTCAAAGACGGGGGTACCATTTGTGGTGAGCGCATGATGGGGGATAGAGAGGGGAGGGCGGAGTCTGCTGGGGTTGGTGATGGGGAGACGCTGGCTCTGGCGGAGGGTGGAGGGACGGGCGTGGGTTTTGCGGTTGTGGATGCGGAGGGTGGTTGTGACGGGGGTGACGTAGTTTGTCCGGCCATGAAGTCGACAAACTTGCTTCTCTGGTCCTTATTCAGAGTGTTGGGGGCGTTGGTGACGAGCTCCGTGGCTTCGGGGAGGTCCATGCCGGACTTATTCGTGGCATTGTGGTCGTTGATGATCTTCATCATCCGTTCGTGCGGGTTGGACTCTAGTTCCTGCCGGAGACTTGGAGGCGTGTCTGAGCTGTCGAGCAACTCGGTGACGTGGCCCATTTCGGGGTTGTGGTTGCCAACGGGATAGCATGGTGTTGAAATTGTCGATGCTGACCGAGTCGCCGCTGGGGCATCCGCTTGGTGGTCGGGAATGGGCGGCAGCAGGCCGCGGGTTCGCTTTTGAGCACCGCCCATATTGGAGGCAGGATCCATTTCTGTTTGGAAAAAGTCGCCCAGGTCGACCACGTTGCATTGGTGGGATGGCTGACCCTGGTTGGTGATCATGCTTGAAAGGATGTCGCCGACACTCTGCGTGTTGCCTTGGTCCTCCAGAGTCTTCCTAAAGACATTGGCTAAGAAGTTGAGGATGGCATTGATGGAACTTTGGTGCCGGTCGTGTTGCGACTGGAACATGAGTGCTTGGTTGTACAAATCGTTGTTGTTGTGTTGCAGCCGATTGATTGCTTTGTGAATCAATTTCTGCTGTTCTCGGACCTTGTTCAGCTCCTCTCGGATCAAGGTCATTTCTTTCTTGGGCAGGGTCTGCGGCTCTGTTGTTGTTGATGATGATGTAGAGGCCGGCGGCAGCGACCGACCCGTAGGGACGTTGGACCCGGCTGCGGTGTTCTGCGCAGTCACCTCATCCTGAATCTGATCCTCGTCACTGTCCACCTCGCCGGTCTCGTTCTTATTGGACGACTTCTTGGACGTGGCCCTGCTCTTGGGTTTGTTGATGAGCCACAGTAGGTTGGGGTGGCCACGGCGGAAGAATGGATTGTGGTACTCGCTGGGGCTCTTATTTTTGCGCTCGCTCGCTCGCATCGAGTTGTCCGACAGGCCAACACGTTTGTGGAAGCCATACATGTTGAGTTGCCGAACAAAGGAGGCGTAGTTGTTGTGCTTGAACAGCTCTGGAATCAGGGTTTTGGCAAACTCGTCCTCGTCAAGAACAATAAACGAGTCTCCCTTTTCCGACCAGCGAATGAGATCTTCGTTTTTTCGTTCCTCCAAAAAGCTAGCGAAAAGGACAGACTGAGTTAGCATCAATACCAATGCACCGTCATGGACAAGCCCCAATTCAAAATTCAAACCACTTACCTGCTGAGCTTTTGCACAAACGGCGGGATCCCTTTCCGCTTGCCCTGAGCCTCCCGCTTAGCCTTCTGCGCCATCTCCTCCAAGGCCTCGACGTTGTCCTGCTCAATCAAGCCCTCCTCATCGTTCTGCGGCAAAAGGTTGTTACCGTCGCCAAAGCCGGCCCACGGCTCCACGGAACCGTCAAAGTTTCGAGTATGCGTCGGAATCAGCGCCTGGTTCAAATCGCGTCGCGTAAGGGTGTTGGACGGCGCGGGGACCTGGGTGTACTGAGGCTGCGTGGGCATCAAGCCGTACGGACTAGCAGCATGCGCAGATCCATCGACAAAGTCGGCACTGTCGCCGTTCCATCTAAGCATATTGTCTGGAACGGCATTGTCTGCTGGAAACGGCTGCTGCATGCGCTGCGGATAGTTCATAATTGGCGATGCGCCCGGCGCCGCTCGCTTCCTCGAATTCGGCGTTGACATGGGGGTGTGTGAAGAAGATGCGCCTGGAGATCAGGCTGTGACGGAGTCGGTCGGTTGCTTGTGACGAAAATGACGGGCTGTTTGGCCCAAGCGGTGACGCGTTGTGAGACGTCGTTGTCGACTTTGATCTTTTTTGAATGGCCAAGCAAACAAAATGCTTTATATTTTCGTATATTGAATCTCCTTCTTTTTGACTTTGTTTTTCTTTCCTCGTCGTTGTCGCTCTGTCTCCCTCGCAGGTTGTTGGTCCACTCGAGTAGCACAAGGCAGGCAAAGGGCCACTCAATCTCGTCGATTAGACGGCGACGGGCGGGAGGCTGACACGGTCTGCACAATGCAGAAATTTTGAGGGTGCGCAACAAATACTTTTAGGATAGGCAGCGAGGCCGGCACTACAATGAGCACCCCTTCTCGAATGCCGTTCCGCCGACGAGGCGGTCTGGGTTCGGTTGGAGAATGTCGCTTTTCTCTTCGTTTTCTGCGGGTCTGTCGATACAGAGCAAAACACCACCACAGCGAGGCGTTGCACGGCGGCAGTCAGTTTTCTTTTCCCCCACCCTTGTATCGGCTGTAACGGTGGCGGCAGTGGGAGTCCTATTTTCTCGACGGTCCAGATGTCCTTTTTGCGATTGAAGGCGTTGCGCCGCGCCGTGTTTGCCAGAGCAGCCGCTATGTGGGAGGCAGGAAAATATCAAATGATAACAGATGACGACTTTCCAACGCTCCTCCCGAGTCGGTTGTCAAAGGATTAACGTATCGATTAGATCATTTCGAACCACTTTAGGTTCGGACAAGGGGCCGCGTCCTACCAATCCGCCCTGCTTTGTTTCCACCTTTCCTTCCAATCCGTCCAATCCGTTCGATCTGTCCACTGACGGGCGGGCCAGGACAAGCATTGCCGTGCCGCAAACCTGGGCGGCCTCGGAGTACTTACTCCGTACGGCTCCTCACATACAATGGGCAGGGAGCACTTGAGTACTGTGTACCCGGCTCAAGTCGAGTACGTACCTAAGCACCCACTTCACTTTTCAACCGCCGTCTTCCTTCCTTTCGTTGGTCCACCACTTGACCCTAGTCTTCTCTCAATCCCGAATGCCAAGCACAACGCTTACATCAAGCCTACCTACCTAGGTACTCATCAACTCTATACCCTGAGATTCATATGATGGTTTCTGTAGACGGATAGTACCAGTCACCAACCAACTTCTCCTAATACTTGCCATCCCATGCAACACAGCACCAGCACTGTCATTTATTTTTACTCAACATCACTCGACATCATCTTCTTGGGTATCGCTTATATTCAGCCCGGATACATGATAATAATACACCACCCTCCTCGCGCACTACTTGGCCCCCCTCCCTGCAAGCGAACTAATCCTCGCCAACTTTGCGTTGCGAGCCTGGTCCCTCGCTTGATCCCAAGCCCGCGATCCGCCCATCTTCGCCTCCCGGTCTGCCCGTTTGTCCTCCTTAAGCGTACGGGCCTTCTCCCGAGGATCAATGACCACTAGCTCTTCCTCCGCCTTCTTCCGGTTACTCAAGTCTTTACCCAGCCTGTCTGCTGCAAAGGACAGCGAGTGTGACATCCAGCCCTCGTCGTCGCTCTCCTCCTTGTCCTGCTTGTCCCAAGCCGTGCAGCTCTGGCAGTTGGCAATAAAGTGCAAATCGCAGAGCTCTGCTTCATCATCTGCGCCTGCTGCGTCCCTGCTGCCCTCGTCTCCCCTTTCTGCGGATTCATGTATTTCCTTCTCTGGTGGAGCCTTCTCCAGCCTCGACTGAAAAGCACGCAACAGACGCATGGCCGCTTGGTCATCGCTCGCGCTAGTATTGTTGCCTCCTGGTCGTCGCTTTCTCGCTCGCATTGATGATTCGGGTATCATGGACTCGAGAGCAGACTTCTTCTTTGTGTCTTCTACCGGCTGTTCTGAGTGAATGGTTCGACGCATCGAGGCCTTTAATGCTGCCAGCTCTTCGTTGGCTTTCTGGAAAGCCGTCTTCTTTGGCAATTCTGGCGCGTCTGGTAGCTCCTCTGCCTCTTCTCGGGCATCCTCTTTTAGTCGGCCGGTTTGCTTGATATTCTCTGCATTTGAATTTGAAGTAGGTGGTTGTTCGTCAGAGTGTTCCTGCAGCGTAGGCTGCTTCTTCTTGTCTTCCTTGGAAGATTTCTTTTTGGCGGCCTTGTCTTTCTTTGGCTCCTCAGCTGGCTCCTCTTCTTGTGCAATCAATCTCGTGTCAAACTTGGCCTTTTTAAACACCGGCTCTTCCTCCCCTCCCGCCTCCTCATCCCCAAAGCTAAGCAGCTGTTTCCCCCCTTTCCTCTTCTTCTTCTTCGTTTTATCCGCAGTCACTGGTTGTTCCACAGCTTGTGTCGCAACCCTCGATCTCTTCTTCATGTCCTCAAACGGATTCACCAATATTTCCACCCTCTCAATCTTCACCGGATATAGCGGTCTTTCACTCGCTTCATCCACCTCGGACTCTCCAATCTTGGCCAAATTATATATCGTATCCCCGGCGACCCTTCCAAACAAAGTATTCTTCCCATTCAACTCCTCGGTTTTATCCAACGTGAAAAAAAACTGGCTGCCGTTTGTATCTGCACGACCCTCGTTGGCCATACCTAACAGACCTCTTCGGTTGAATTTTAGGCGTGAGTGAAACTCATCTTTGAAGTTTATGCCTGTAGGGCCTGCATTCTTGCCCCTTCGCTCGTCCATTGGCCATGGATCCAAGTCGCCGCCGAACGCGCCGCCGTCGTAGATGGACTCGCCGCCATTTCCGGTCCCTGTAGGATCACCACCCTGTAAAATGAAGTTGGGGACCAATCTGTGGAAAATTGTGCCATCGTAGTACCCGTCCAGACTATGTTGCAGAAAGTTGCGACAGGTCAAGGGCGCTTGTTTGGCAAAAAGTTCAACGAGGATCTCTCCCAGGGTCGTGTGGATGATTGCCGACGCCGTTGGCTGCGGCTCGAGATTGTAAATCGCTGACATGATTCGCCGTGATTTGATCCAGCTTCGGTTTCTCAGTTGTAAAGACGACCTGGAGCGAGCGGCCGAGGGCGGCGCTTCTACTGACGCGGAGTTGTGCCGTGGTGGATTGGAGTTTGCAGCTCAAGACATCGTGGACAATTACCACGACCCACAGTTCGCTATCGATAAGCATACCCTGGAAAACACCAGGCACGAGGTGAACTGAACTAACCTAGATGCTCAGAACAGATGTAGAGTCAGGTCCGGAATCCCCGTTCCAATTAACACAAAGATTTATTATGGAAAGGGCTAAATTCTCCCTTGAAGAAAAAATTGTTATGCTTGGACCAGCCTGCGTATGTGCAGTTTTATTTAGAAGTTATCTAATATACCCACCCATTTTTCATCTATTGAAAGTTTCAGATAATAAGACTAACTTCAAGTGATCTGGTTACATGGTTCCCTTAGGATCATTTCTTGGCCATTTTTGATGAACAATACATGGGCACTTATAGTGGTGTTGTGATTAACACTACTAGTCAAATTCCTACTATGGACGTTCCAAATTTGCCTACTTAAGGGGGTACAGGTAGAAGCTAAAATTAAGCCAGCGGTTCTTAGCCCGCATTTCTGCTTCCAAGAGATGATCTTATTCATGAGAATTCGGAGTTTGGCCAGTTGTAGCTCTCGGCGTTCATGCAAAGAATGAAGTCAACCTATCGGACACATCTATGTGTCATAGCAGCTGCTATGGAGACCAACAGGGCTTTTGGCCAAAGGATATGGAGGCGCCAGTCCTCGGAATGCCGACTATTGGCTGTTTCCAGAAATTAGCGGACTGGCACGATGTGTCATACTGCCAAACGTGCAGGAACGTCCGGTAATGAACACAGTTTTCTTTCTTCATCTCTGACATCATGTAATGTATAGGTGAGCAACCCGTTACAAGTGCGGTTGAAGGTGGATCCCCGTTAAAGGGCAAGTCCAACCTGTTCACAGTGTCAGCAAACTAGCCGCCCAGCCGGGTTCGTCGTGAAATCAGCGCCATGGGATACTATAGTAGATCGCCGATGGACAACAGCCACAAGTTTCTACCATGCTCGGCCTTTTGGCTGTCTGCCAATGACTATGTGATTGGCAAGGCAAAGTAGATTTTACATGTGAGGCGTTCGACACTCTTCTAGACTTTGACGAAGCTTTCAGTTTCAGCATTGGTTGACCCGGGACTCGTTGTATCTTGCCGAAGGTGGTAAGGCATGGTTGTCTGCACTCTCTTGCGCAGTCTTTCGAACCGCTGCTCGAAGAAGAGGGCAATCTTGGTCCAGCTGTCTCCTCTGAAATCTTCCCGATAGTTGTCAATCATATCTTCCACGTTGGCCTTCATATTGGGATCATCCGTAGTTGCCCATATCAGACATAACGTCTTGGGCATGTATGTTGCGCCTAAAGGACGGAAATTCCAAGCCCGTGTTGCTGAAGCAAGAACAACATTTGCCGCAGTCTCCTCGTGTTCTTTCAGAGTGCTGTCGTACGGGTGGAAGACCTGAAGCGTCCTCCGAATAATGGCCATTAATGTGTGTAAGACACAGATGGAGGACTCGCAAATGGTATAGCCTTTGTAGTAATTCATGTCAAGGCTTGTGCAACAAGCCTCATGCAGCTGCTTGGTAATTGGAATTATTTTCTTCACTTCCACTCTCATCAACTCATAGGACGAACGTAGTTGAACAAGGTGGTATTCGGGTTCCCGGAGAAACATAGGTAGGTCTATGAGGTTTGCCACTGTCAAATTTGTTGATCTAATATCGACCACAGAATAGTTATTCAGCGGTCCATAGTATGATGTTTTCCTCAGATCCGCATGCCATCCTTGTAATTGCACCCTGGGGTCAATGACGCACTCGGTGATCTGTGCGGGGAGTCAGCAAAACGAATGCACAAGTAGTTTACATGCTGACGGGAAGGGTGATCTTACGGCTATGATGGATGCCAGGTCAACCATTTGTGAGCTGAAGGGGTCTTGGTAATCTCGGGCTGCTTGATTGTTTAAAATGTACAGCAGCCCCTGAAGATGGACCAAGCACTCATCGTTGTGCCCGCCGAGGAAATTCTGCAGAAAATGAAGGAGTCTTTTAGTTACATGGGTAAGAAAACTCGTTACTAGTCAAGCATACCTGAGACAACAGAAGAAGATACACGCCACAGAGCGTCTCCGTCTTGCTGACTTGGGATGGATCGTTCATAAAGCTGCTTCTCATGCAGGCGAGTGCTGTGCCGTAGTCCTTGAGAGCTTGCAGGGTTGCTTGTCGCGAATGAACTGCTGTGACGGCACTCGAAAAGGCCATGGCTGCAGTGCGAAGAATTTGACTTCTTCCCAAGCGGCATGGCACATCTTCAAGAAAAGGACCGAAGCCAAGAACCGAGAACTTGGGGTCGGAAATCCGCAAGGTTGAGATGAAGGCTCCGGTTGTTGATGTTAATTCATTTCCGAGTGGCCGTGGCGGTGACGAGTTCATCTGATCCTCAGCTAGTATCCCATCTCTGCCCCGTGCTGTCCGGGCCACCGGGACGCTTTCCGTGACCGTTGCATTTTTGAACCGGTACACTCGCTCTCCAGATCCAACGCAGCGGATGCCATAGCGAAGGCACCTAGAGCATGATGGCTGCGCAAGATCACACTGTTGACAGAATTTGTCAGTCCTGCAATGTAAAAATCAACCCATCAAAGACGGCGGTCGAGCATTGAACATGGATTCTGTCTGTCCTACCTTCTTCTTGCGTTTCCGGCAGCCTTGACAGCCTCTTCCCGATGGGCCTCCTGGCATGTCAAGTGCGGAGCCTGCTTGCTGTCTGCAGGTAGAGATTGGCCGAGGGCTATTGCTTGCTGTCAGCTACATGGCTCGATGGGATCTTGTGCTATCAATTGGGTCGACAGCGTCGTGCCGGCGATGCAGCAACATGAGAGTATGGAGCCACGTGATGCACTATAAGCAGGGTTAGTCATCTTCGCCTACTTCGTAGTTACTCTGTCCTCCATTCGGCCCATTTGCATCGACACCGACGGGCTCGGGGATTCATCCCCCAAGCCATGGGCCAGATCAGCGTGGGCAAGCTTCTCTGGACCCTTCAAGCAGGCTGATCTACAATCCATTTCGGGCCTCATTACGGAGTAATGACCGGTGGGGTGCCTGCGGGGAGGTGGATCAGTCGATATGGCCGGGCAGCAAGGCGACGCGATTCGAACGGCGGGTGTCAAATTGTCAAATCCATCAAGTCAACCAACCACCATGCTAGATGCTATGCGCCGAGCAGCCCAGACTCAATACCATATACGCGGCACTCCGTACCTATCCAACGACTCGCCTGTTCGAGAGCGCTCTGCAACATGGGGACGGGGCGAACTGGGACTTTGAAGTCAAAGAGATGCCAGTCTCGATGAACCCCCTCCCCCTCCCTCGCGAACATTGTTGCTCGGCCTGCCTCCTGTTGCAGTGGAAGGCCAGGCCCCAGGATCCCAGCATGGCGTTATCCATGAGACACTCTTTCCATTGGTCGAAATAAAAGCATTTGTTTCCCTGGACTACCCCGCCAAGTCGGAATTTGAGCATCATGTTGTGAAACGCCTCTCTCTGCTCTAGTCTGACGGCCATTTGCTCATTCTCCCCGCCTGGGAGACAAGTGAGATAAGAGCCATTCGCCGCCGACAAAATTATATGGAGCAAGGAATAGTCCAAGAGCAAAAGTCAGGGGCAAAGGCCAGCGGCAGTCCATGGGCGACTCGGAGCTACCCTCGGCTGGGACCGAGATTAAAAACGGACTTGACGGATACGAACACCAAACGAACCTGCAGGTCATTTTACACGTTGAGCGATGTGATACCTTAGTTCGCGGCATAGGTGTGACCGAAATTCATAGTTATTTCCTGCCTCCATCGGGATGCGGACTGATGCCTCCTGCATTGTTGCAAATGATGGCGTTGACACCGGTCTGAAGTTGCCCAATGGCATTCGCCAGAGCCATGCCAAAAGTTACGTGTCTGAAAAACTCATGGTGTGAATCCTGATTCTCACGCTCTTCCACAATGTAATGGCGAACCAGCATCGAGCCTCTTTGGCAGAAATGTGCCGCTTTCGGACTAGGGAACAGCAAGTGACCCAACATAGTCCGAAGCAATCCTAACTATCGACGACGGATTAAATCTTATTACTGACCAATGGCTGCGACACCAGGTCAACTGCATCACTACGGACCATGCTCGCTTATCGGGCACATTGCATTAGGGAGACCCTAGACCCCGGCCGAAAAGTGAGTGAAGATGGGGATATAACAATACTGTTAGCCCACCCCGTTGGACAAAGCTCGGCTCGAAGCGAATCTTCTCGATTTTACTCATCCAACCAGCGGGCTACTTGAAATTCACACCATTTGACCTCCATTACCTAGACCTCCATACGTCCTCCCCATTTCAATGGAAGAAGCTCACACCAAATGTCTTGAACAACATTTCACCTCATCCCCCGATTGCCTGCGGCCGCTCCTTGTGTCCCTGAACGGGCACAACTCCTGGCTGTTGTCCATGCCACGACCATGGGTTGACCAAAAGCAATCGGGGAGGGCCTACTTCCACATCGTCCTAGAGCCATGGCTTGTAGGACCAGCTGAACTTGTCGGATCTTGGTTCATCCACATCGACTTGCCCTCAGCTCCTGCGTTTCCCACAGCGGATGCCGTAGAGGCAGCTGCTCGCCAGATCGAAGAGTTAGCCTCAGAACACGTCCTAAATAGACGCACGTCTAATGAAGTCTTCAATCCCGCCGGACACATTGACGCCATCCTGCTTTCTTTTCACTACTATGATCATGTACATGAGGCCACTCTCCGAGAGTTCCATGGAAACGTGCCAGTGATTGCAACTCCCCAGGTAGCTCGCATCATCAGGCCTTGGAACCACTTTAGTACCATAGCCATCATCCATGATCTCAAACCTGCAGCTACCTCGTGGCGCGTGTCAGAGTTGCATCCTGGGCCATGTCTCCCCCCGTGGCTCGCGGTGCTACGCCTCCCAGGACACCGCGAGATGAACTTCTCAACTGCCATTGTCTGGACACACGTGGAAGACAACGGCGCCGAGGTGCACGAAACTATCTTGACCTCGCCACACGGCACCTTGTTGGACCAAGGCCCGTTTCAAGCCTTCGTCGACTCAGAGCCAAAGACCCGCAAGCTCGCCATGCTCCACGGCAACAAGGAGAGCCACATCGGCGGCAAGAAAACTAGCTTCGGTGCCAAAAGCGGCCTGGAACTCTACCGAAAGCTCGGAGCACCAAAATACTGGGTTCTTTCTCATGACCTGCCGCTGGCTTACACGGGCATCTTTATGCGCTTGTCGCGCGCGGCAGATACTCCACGGACGTTGGAATGGGCATTGGGCCACGAGTTTCTAGAGCAGGGTTTGCATAGGAAACGACCTGATGTTTTTCAAGTGACAAACGGCGGTTGTTTAGTTTTGGAAGCCTAGAATGGCATTCACATTTTCACACGAGCATCTTGCCGCATTATTCGTGTTTCCAATATTGCATATATATTTATCAGCAGACAGCCTTACCTTTTGAATCTGACAGATTTCCCCCTCCCGGCCAAAGTCTTATCACGATCATCACCTGCGCCGCTCTGGCCTGGGTATATGCATCATGGGGTCCCGAGAAAATGCCAGTGCAGCCCTTGGGAACCCATGATGTGCCCAAGCCGCTCCACATATCTATTATTGAGAGGGGATTGACGATTATTCAAGTCAATCATACGCCTCTGTCTTCGTGGCCCGCTCATGACGGGCTTCAAATCTCGGCTGCGTTGGCCGGGTGATGCTGGATTACGTGACTTAACTCCTTACAACACTTATTTTCCCATGAGCGCCCATTGTGCATTGGCAACACGCCACAAACGCATCACCCCTAGCAGAAAATCGAATCGAGACCCTGAGTCCAAAAATAAATTAAATGAGTAAAAAGTAAAACAAATCATGCCCAGAGCAATCGGCCGTCCTACCCACGCAGTGTAAGGCGTGATGGGAGGCCTGTAATTTCGGCCCACGTCCGTGGATCCAGCTTGCACTCATATCCCGGCCACACATGCAGCCAAGTACATATCTAATGTATATGTATGTTGCTGCACTGCTACGCTTTCTGCATGGACAGGTATACACAGACCCTGTGGCTTAGGACTAAAGAAGTACTAGCAAAAAGACGGCGGTGATGGTATGTATGTCTGTAATGTGGCTGGGGGTAGCTGGGATGCCGCAGGAGGTAAAGATAGACCTACCTAGTAGGTAGTAGATGGTTAGGAGAGACTTTCATTGGGGGAAAGAAGGGTGTATTTTCGCACAGCTGACATCATGAATGAAAGGGCTGTTGTTCGGGGTCAGGAGAAACAAACATGACATTATCTGCGTGTAGTATCCCGCCATGGCGGCAGCTTGTCGGCGGCGGGGGGGCAACCTCATCATGTCACACCCAAGGACTTACCCAGGTTGCCAGGAAGGTGCCGGCTAAGACGTCAACGGTGCCACTTGCCAGCAGGTTACTCCATGCAAGTCTTCAAACTCCGAGTGTCGACCGACCCCACTCCGGTATACACAACGTCACAACAGGCGCGCGTATTTCAAGCACATTAGCTTGGTCGATTCGTTCAATTTCATCACGCACAAGAGGCTTCTCTCCTACATTTTGTCATTGCCCATCCCGTCATCCATAAATCTTCAAACAAGCATTCCTCCCCAACCAGTCGCATTTAGAAGATGGCACCACCAAGTCTGACAGCAACGCTCTTGTTCTGGGTGTAGTTGGCTAGGGCAGCCTCACCAAGTTCGCGACCAATACCAGACTCCTTGAAACCACCAAACGGCCTGTGTGCGGTGTGTTAGCATTTACTATTCTAGCCCACTTCAACGATGGAAGGGAGGCACTTACAGTTGGTGTGAGAGCATGTTGTAGCCTGTGGCAGAGTTGGCGCGTTAGTTTCAATGCCGTCTCTCGAGTACCTGAGTTTTATTGACTTACAGTTGACCCAGACGGTTCCAGCCTTCAGGGCATTGCTGACACGGATGCTGGTGTTGAGATCCTTGGTGTGGATGGCAGCAGCAAGACCATAGGCGGTCTGGTTGCCCAACTTGATGACTTCCTCCTCATCCTTAAATTTGGAGATGGAGCAGACAGGGCCGAAAATTTCCTCCTGCATGATCTTCATGTCGGCGTGGACATTGCTAAAGATGGTGGGCTGGATGAAGTAACCCTTGTCACCGTGGCGCTCACCACCGATCTCAACGGTGGCGCCTTCGTCCTTGCCAGATTTGATGTAGCTCATGATGCGGTCGTACTGGAGCTGGCTGACCTGAGGACCCTGGAAAGTGTCCTGGGCGAAGGGGTCGCCGACCTTGTTCTGCTGAGTTCGCTTCTTGAAGGCCTCAAGGAACTTATCATAGATGCCCTCTTGGACGAAAATTCGACTACCGGCGCAGCAGCACTGTCCGTGGTTGAAGTATATGCCAAAGTTGACCCATGAAATGGCTTGTTCAATATCGGCATCGTTGAAAATAATGTTGGGAGACTTGCCACCAAGCTCCAAGGTGACTTTTTTCAGGTTAGATGAAGCAGCAGCCTTCATAATGGTGCGCCCAACGACGGTGGAACCAGTGAAGGCAACCTTGTCGATGTCCATGTGGGAGGAGATGGCGGCACCGGCAACCTTGCCGAAACCAGAAAGAAGATTGAAGACACCGGGAGGGAAACCAGCCTCCTTGACCAGGTTGGCGAAAACGAGCGCCGACAATGGAGTTTGCTCAGCGGACTTCATGACAATAGTGTTGCCAGTGGCAAGTGCGGGACCAATCTTCCAGGAGAGCATGAGAAGAGGGAAGTTCCAGGGAATAATTTGGCCGCAAACACCGAGCTATGACAAGGGGTCAGTTTTCCTCTTGGCCTTGTTTGTTTCCATTTGGCACCCAGAAGCGCTTTCAAAGGTATGTGTCCACTTACGGGCTCTGGTCTGGTAAAGTGAAACATATCGGGGGCAATATCAATAGTCCTGCCCTCGATCTTGTCGGCCCATCCACCGTAGTATCGGATGCAGCCAGCAACAGCACCAACGTCACCCCTCGCCATGGTAATGGACTTGCCATTGTCAAGAGACTCTACAGAGGCGAGGAGATCGATGTTCTTCTCAACGAGATCGGCAAGCTTGATCATCAAAACGGATCGCTGTTGGGGAGTAACCTGCTTCCATGTGGTTTCGAAAGCCTTGCGGGCGGCGGCGACGGCAATGTCCACGTCTTTCTCGGTGGCTTCACAGACAGAAGTAATGACCTCTTCAGTGGCGGGGTTGATGACCTCAAACCTCTTCTTGTCAACACCCTCAACCCACTCGTTGTTGATGAAACTGGGGGAGATATGGCGGTTAGCTTCTCGGACTCCTCGTGACTGGAACGATGCGGATTGGGAGCGCTGTGCACTCACAGACCAATGGGCTGCTGGTAAGGGCCCGTGATCGGGGTCTTGAGCTCGACTGTCAGAGTCATGATGACGGTTCGTGTGCTTGAGTTGGGTTGTATTAAACAGCGTGCTCGAAGGGGTATCTTGAAAGACACAACCAGGGTGATTCTGGCGGGTACAGGGGAAAAGGAAAAAAGGTTCAAGAGAAGAAAAAGACACTTGGAGTGTATTCAGGAATCAGGAACCAGCGGGTCTCTGTACTTTAAGTAGGTAGGTAAGGGAGGGGGAATCCGGGGCCGTGGAGCATCTACGTAGCAACGGCAGACGTCGACACCGAGGATATACTCTGTAGACAGCGCAGCCAAGCTTGACTAATAGGCTTCCTGTTACGGAGAGGAAGTTGGGAGGTAAGCTGTGCGGTGGTGGCGTTTTACCGTGATGGATTGCAAGTTACAAAGTGTCAATCTGGTCTGGTGTGTGCCCCGCACCAGTGGGCGATGTCGCCACACCCCGCCACCCCGCAATCCGCCTCCAATGCTGGAACCTCAGCTTGGAGCAAGCCGAACCGGAGTGAATACGTAGCCCAATGAAGAGCGAGGGCAAGCTGCAGAGGGTCCAGCAACAGCTGCCTCACGGCATCAGAAAGTTCATCGTCATATTTCCCGGCTATGTCCTCGAGCCTCACTCAATACATACATTCAAAAATTGTTCCCTTCAATGTTCCCGCGTCGGAGCCGCGCTAGGTAGAAAGGTGCAGCTGAAGTGCTGGCCCACCGACGAATCACACAACTCTTCTCCGTACCCTCAACAGCTACCCCGGCCTTTGCCAGGACGAGCTGCGACGCTACCACGTACTTGTACTTCCGATCGGCCGTCGAGCGCCGTCGAGCGGCCGGAGTTGAGGAATGTCGTTAACCACAGATTGCTGAGCAACTGGCACGCGTCACGCTGCACGCGGCAGACACATACACCCTTCGGGCCTTCGCCCCTCCTTCCTTTTCAAAGCCCGAACATGTCTTCCCCGCAGCCAGCTGGCCAATAATTAAGCTTGTCGCTTGTCCTTCGGCCTTTGAAACATCTGCCTGACAAATCCCGTCAATGGGTTTGGGAGAGCCACATTATGAACGCTACTGCGACCAGACATGTTTGGCACTAATTACTGCATGACAAGTCGCTGATTGCTCACAGCAGTTCAATCCTAGAGCTTGACGAGGTGCACACGCAGCCCTCTTTGGGACAGATGACAAAGAAAGGTATACTACCCTTTTCTCGAGGAGACACCGTCGTTTTACGCCACTTTGATGCCATCGTTCCCTAGCTCCTGTTTCTCCCGCTGCCTGTCCTCAGGTTCTTAAAAAAACATCCTATTCCGTTGGCGTGCACCTCTCGGCTTGCACGAGACCAATCTTCGAGCCTTTCGCATGGATGGAAACCAAGGGACCCGCAGTCTTCGCCAAGTTGGTGCTCCATGAATGCTGTTTCGGTCACTCCTCTCTCGTTGCTTATCGTGGCCCATTGATATTCACCCAACGGGACGCCTTTAATATGCCATGGGGACATGGCGGAGGCCCCCACACGACGGTATGTACAAGCAGATCCAACGAGCGGAGGAACAATGGAGTCAGTCCTTCAATAAACTGGTGAAGCACTTGCTACGCCAATGAAGCAATTATCTCTACGGAGTAAATTGAAACGAAGAGACAATTCGAGATGCCATGCAGACGCCATGCTGGCCCCCTCCCATCCGGTCAATGATGGGAGCCACGATCTGGAAGCAAAATATCCTGGCACGCCCTTCATCCCGTCCCATTCATACAATACACGATAGCTGATCTCTTGCAAATTAACTAACTAGGCGTTGGGGATGCCCATTCTGGAAACATTGTGGAGCTGGGTCCAGGCGTCCAAGCCACCCCCTCGTCTCGTCTTCTCGGAATAGCGGTTAGCGAGGGTTCAGAGAAAGTCTGGCGACTGGAAACACTCGGAATGGGATCGGAATGCCAGAAGGACTGGCCACAGACACCAAGCACCCTAC